GGTTATTTGAGTCACTGTTGCCTTTCTATCAGCTCGAACCAGTCTGGCCTTTCTCCTCTGACCTCTGGCATCAACAAGGCATTTCTGCCCACAGAACTGCCGCTCACTGGATATTTTTTCTTTTTCGGACCATTCTCTGTCAACCCTAGAGATGGTTGTGTGTGAAAATCCCAGTAGATCAGCAGTTTCTGAAATACTCAGACCAGCCCTTCTGGCACCAACAACCATGCCACGTTCAAAGCCACTCAAATCACCTTTCTTCCCCATACTGATGCTCGGTTTGAACTGCAGGAGATTGTCTTGACCATGTCTACATGCCTAAATGCACTGAGTTGCTTCCATGTGATTGCCTGATTAGAAATTAAGTGTTGACGAGCAGTTGGACTGGTGTACCTAATAAAGTGGCCGGTGAGGGTAGTTCCGTATTGTATAATAACTGTAAAAAATAAAGATATCAAGTACCACGTACAACTTTATTGTGCAGCACATTTAAAATTTTGTCCCTCTCACATTTTTTTGCTTTTTTTTTTTTTTTAATAAATCCTACTTCACGGATTTCACTTATCACTGGTTCTTTTTTGGAATCTAACTCCCGATAAACGAAGGATTACTGTATACTTAACCTTTGTGGTTCATCGATACAATCGAGAGACGATAACTCGAGTAAACGCTGACGTCACTTGTGTTTGGCACCACAAGCGAGGTGCATTCAAATACATTGGGACATTTCTAACACAGAAATAAAACAAAGTTGTTTATTTGTCAGCTATGTTGGCCTGCATTTAAAAAAATTGATGAATCAACTTGAATTGGTTTTGATGAATCAACTTGACTTGTTTTTCATAGCCCCATATATCAATTCATAAACCATAAATGAATCCTTTTGATCGGTGTTTTCTCATAAATTCTTGGACGTTTTTAAAAATGTCACTTCTTAAGTCGGTCAGCTACAGTGGTCATCAATGAGATACACACGTGCACCAGGTAGCCCTCAAGTACCACAAGAGTAGCCCACAGGCCTGTTCTAATAGTTGCTCACCAGTGATGGGAAATTGAGATTTTCTAGGAATGTTGTAAAAGTGATCATTTGAAAATGACGAGTTTTATAGAAAGTGTTGCATATATCTGTCTGTCATATCATTATCAATAAAGACATACAATAACATTATTAAAAGTATTGAGCAAGTTTATTTCTGAAGTGTGTACCAATGGGTAGCCCTTTACATTAATCAGTAGCCAAGAAGTAGCTGTCAGTTTCAAAAAGGTTGGCGACACCTGCCCTATTATATTCACCCAAAACATTACTTGAATTGAAAAAGCATTGTTTATCGTGCCACATTTTTATATGACAAAAAGGTTATTAGTAACAAACTCATTTCATAAATTTTCTTCAACTTGCAATCATCCCAACACCCCGATATCACTGACATCTTTTTGAGTAAAATTTGTGTAGCCTGGCATGCATAAAAAAGTTGCTTGTCCACAATTTGTCATGCCAAATAGTTCCAAGCCGTGCCGATTTCTACATTGTTTTCAGTTAAATAAAATGTGTTCCAATGTTTTTGTTGTGCATCTGATTTTGTTTGTTTACATATTTAGTAATAGCAGTATAATACAGATAAAATGGTGAGAATTTTGGTCATGGTCATTGTGATTATTTTCTCATATAACAAGTTATCAACGCAGCGTATAACCCCCTCCTCCTTTTTTTTTTTTTTTGCTTGTAGACTGTCTATGAAGGCAGAATATACTGTCTGAAAATCGAATGTGGACCCAGATACCCAGATCATCCTCCTCATGTACGTTTTTTGCACAGGATCAATATGGTTGGAGTACATTCATCGAATGGTGTTGTAAGTATGCGAATTTCATTGACACATTTGCACTTCAAATGCCTCGAAAATCCCCCGTACAGATACATTTCTGAGAAACAAGTGGTGACTAAAGTACATAACCTATTGTACTGTTTACACTGCTTTTCTCATGAATAATGTTTAATTTGCGCTATTTAAGTTAAATTTTTTTTTTTTTGTGCAAGTGACACAGTTTGAAACATCAAAGCCCATTTGGAGCACGCATCAGAATTGTGTTCCCTATGAGCTTATTTGTGGCTATTTTTGGCTTAAATGTGTCCACTTATTGAAGTAATTTTCCCCGAGCAGACAAATTTAAAGGAACAATTGTCGCTATGGACAACCGTACATAATCCGTATATAATTTCCGGGGCACACAGCCAACTCTGGAACATGAACAACGTGACGTGCTTTGCTGGACACTTAAAGCTGGTGACTACATGCATGGACAAAATCGTTTGTACTCCATTGTGAATAAAAGAAAAACCCACAATGGTCACAGAAATAACTTGAATCTGACAAAAGTAACAATAAATACAACATGAATTAATGAAACTGAACCATTGGAAATCAGGTTGTTTTTGAATTGTAGTTGAAACAGAATTATTTTTAAAAACAAACTCATGAAGCAGGGCTGGCTAAAAAGAAAAGACTGAGCGTAATTTGACGATACGGACATGTTACAACAAGGTGTGTCCTCTAATTACCATCAGGTATCTTCAAACATGTAATCTGTCAGGTAGCCTATTTAAAGGGTGACAAGTAGTCACTGTTGGCCCTTTTCCACATTGCTTGTGCTCGTGCTAGTTCAGGGCCACTGCCCTGGTTAGCACTAGTTCTTTCTTTTTCCACCACAGAAATTGGCTCTAGCTCTAGCTCTAGTGCTTAAGATGGCTCCAATTATTTGTTGGGCCAGACTGTGATACCAATTACATCAGGGCTTCTGTTTATGACGATCGCAGATGTAGAGGAATGACTCCTTGGACAAACGGACGTTTTGCACAAACTGTTGAGTGGTCGACTCCGGCCCAATTGTGTCCCACCAGAAGAGCGATCACAGATGTACCCAGATAGCATGCGAGCTCCGATTCGCAGCCAGCCTTGTGATCATCTACAATGATTAAGAAAAATAGAAGCTTTTGCTGATTGCATGTCCCTGACTGTTATATACTACATGCAAGTATAATTGATGCTATGTTAAGTAGCCTAGCAGTTGCTTACAGCGCATTGTTATTATTATTATTAATATTAATAGCAGGCGCTCTTAGGTAAACATCGACGTTAGCAGTGACATTTGTACGCTTTATGGTGGCGTAATGACGTCGCTCCCATTTGGCTCTTTGCCGGTGGAAAACCAAAGACGTTCTTCGTAAGAACTTGTTAAGCGCCAACTAAACACAGCGCTGGCCCTGGCGCCTAACGAGCACCGTTTTTTTTTTTTTGGGTTTGGGGAGGTTGGGGGTGTAGACAATGGGGGAGTATGTGTTGTTTGGTGATACGGTGTGTGTGTGTGTACCACACGAAACATAAACCAAACTGAGATACATGGCGGAGGAGGGTGTCTTGAATCTGCAGGGTCCAATGTGATCTCAAGCCTATCAAGGTATTCCAGTGAGAAATGTGCTGCCTGGTGTAATAATTGTCTCAGTCATGGGTCTTGAAACTGAATAATGACACAAATCGCATAGCTAAAAACACCCTGGAATGGCTAAGAGCAAAGCATTGAACTATTCTGAAGAGGGAATCGCACTTTTTTGTTTTGTTTTTTTCCGATCCCTCCCTTTGGAATTATCTCCGGTTAAATTTAAGGCAATCCCCCGCTCTGTCTGTGTTTAAAACATGTCTTAAGACACATTCTTATTCTTTGGCTTTTGACTCAGCACGAGACTCTGCATCGTTTTGCTGTTTTATTGTGTAATATTATTAATGTTGTCAAGTGATTAAAAAAAATTGTGAGATTAATTCATTAGTCTGTCATTAATTGATCTCATTAATCTATATTTTAATCTCATCTAAAAATTACTGAGAAAAACTCCTATTTTCATTTTAAATTCAATACATTATTGAGGCAGATCAAAAGAAAAGAAAAAGTGGCATTATAAAGTATTTTATTGTTTTTCAGCATACTTGGACGGATGCAGTCCTAGCCATTTACTTTCTGCTCTATTTGAGACTAGTGAAAGTCCTACCTGCAACCTTTAGTTTCGACCACGAGGGGGAACATCAGTTTTGTTTGTTTTTGTAAATCTCCAAAGAATTACAAAATAAAAATGAAATAGAACACCGGGTCCTTAAAGGGTGCTTAGGTTAACATATCAAAAACAGTAAGAATAATTTTCTGGGCAATACAAGTACTCAACACGGAACTTGCTTCAGATAATAAACAATAAATAAAACAGACCCTTAAATCACAGTGCTGTAAGTTAGCACTTCAGAAATAACACTGTTCATCATGACAAACTAAAAGCCCTGAAAAACATCAATCACTTCTAGTAGTCTACAGAGGACACATCAACTATGCCTCGTACATGGGGTGTTCTCGAGTTTAGTTTGCCGAAGAGCTTTGCTATGTATGGCTCGCTCGCTATTTTGCTAACGCTTTGGGTGCTAACGTTAGCTGTGGCTGCACTCGCAACTGGGTGCTTTGTATTGATGTGGGAGGCTAAAATTGAGCTGCTTCGGTGGTAACCAAACTCCTTCTCACAAATTAGGCACAACACTCTGCCTTTATCAATTGTGTCGTCAGGGCGTTTTTGGAATGTAAATTTTCCATTCATTGTGCCAAGAACTCTCACATGCTCCTCCATTTTCACCTCAACATTCCTCACCGCTGCTTACTAAGCCCGCCCAACTCCAATGGGAGCTAATCAGTTTATGCTAAACCAGCCCAAACATAATGACAGCCAATCAATGTCCGCTTCAGGCTGTGCCTGACAGCTGTTTCCCCACCCTCAGCAACTCGAACACAGGAAGCCAACACATAAAGGATATTAGAAAAAGGCAACCCACCTACAGAAACAATAAAGGCAGAGTTCAGATTAACGCGATTAAAAAACAACACGCTAGACATGACTGTAATTAATCGTAGTTAACGCAATAATTTGACACCTCTAATTATTATGTCATTAATTTGTTCTAACTGTTTAACTGTCTTTGTTTTTTATGTGTCATTTTTTATTTTATGTAAAGTACTTTATATGCAGTATGGTTGCTTTTAAAGTTCTCTATCAATAAAGTTGAGTTCTTTGCGTAATTATCTAAATTCTGTAAACATCTGTGAAAGGAGCACGTCGTCTGGAGAAAGCACCTCTCACGGTTGTGCAACAAAATATTAAAGATGCCAGTACGCAATTTAATGCACATTTCATTTCCAACTTGACCGCACCAGGTACTAGTGTGAATGCACTCTTGAATGGAGCGATTGAGTCGAGTCTCTTGTCCTTTTGAGTCGTATATGTAAATGTCGCCTTGCCATTAAGTTCATAACAGGTTGCCTAACTTGTCCATATTTGCTGTTCTTTGCAGGTGGACATAAAGGCACTGCCCTGCTTGTTCAGATGGAAAAACAGTTACACATTGCGTATGGTGCTCACGGAGCTCAAACAACACATGACAATGAAAGAGAACTACAAGCTTTCCCAGCCCCCTGAGGGCCAAATGTACAACTGATACATCTGCCCCTACCCCTCCCTGTCATCGATATACACAGAGAAACACATTCACAGACAGACAGACAGACAGACCACATTCCACATATTCAACACTGGCTACACCTCTTTGGCTACACAAGTGTCATTTTGTTCAAGATCCCAGATGACCAGCTCCATCATGTGAAGCATCCCATTGGAAAGCGGGAATAATAATACAGGTGACTTCCTCACCCAGTGCCCAGTTAGCCATTTTGGTCCACAGAGAAGACATTGACCTGACCAAGCCCAAAATATTGTGCATTTGATTTATTTTGGCCTGTCAATTCCTTTAAAAAAAAAAAAAAAAAAAGAGAAACCACACTATTTTACTCTTCGTCTGAACTAGATTCCCATGTCCCATACGATATTTAAGTCTAATAGGCTCTTTTAGTCATGAATAAGATCCCCACTTACTGAATTCCCAAAGATGTGAATTAGTTGGTTCTTTTAAGAAGTGCATGTCTGCTTCAAGTGAGTGTAACTAAGGGGGGGACATTCAACAACTTGTGTATCAACAAAAGCACGGCAGGCTCATCACTCATGTTGGAAGATTTCTGTTTGTCATCACGTTTTGTGATGGTGTCCGATTCCAAGCAACCTGTGGGGCGGGAGAGGGTTGCGTGGCGAGATCTCTAAAGAGAAACCGAGGATGTGTTTGGAACTTTTCTGGATCGCCACTTGACAGTGGCTTGTGCGGAGTTTTTTTTTTCCTTTATATTTTATTATTTTGGGCGTTCTTGTTTTGGTTTCTTTAGTTTCTGGGCTGACCTGCGTGGGCCTCCTGAAGTAGTCAACTTTGTTTATTTTTTGAGTTGCCACTGAGCAATGTACGGCTTTGGATGTTTATTTTAATAACAGGAAAATTCAGTCAGGGTGATGGGGACCTGTTGCATGGTTTTGTTTGAATTAAATGTTATTACTTTTGCACTTTGTGTATTGTGATTGTGAGAAGAGAAAGCAAATGCTCTGAACCCGGACCAAAACACATTTCCATCAATCACTGCATTTGATGGTCTCTTGTATCTTAATGGTCACAAGGTTGAACCATACTGCGTAAAGTGTGTAAGAACCAAAGTCTTCACAAAACTCGGACCTCTTGAAACAGTGACAAAGCTAACCATTCATATCCCCACCATGGAATGTTCACATGCCATTTTGCCTGCTGCGCTGCATTGGAAACTCTGATTTGCAATTTGCAACAATTCTTCCCATAACAAATAAATGCATGACAAAGTAAATTATTTTTACTAATTCATTCCAAAGTCAAACTGATGCCGTCATGAAACCTTCAGCGTTTTTCATATTTTGACATTCTTAGCTGTCATACATCAAGTATAAATTGGATACATTTACATATAATGTAAGATAACCTGTGTTTGTGTCCGCCTGCAGTGGTGCCTTGAGATACGAGTGAACTGACTGATAAATTTTTCAAGCTACGACTTTTCAATTGTCGCTTTTTTTTGTTGGCCCCCTGTGATTGAAACTATGAAACTTGAAATATGAGTGCTGTATGGTGGCAGTGAACTCTTCGCAATAAGCAACAGTTTGGCAAATGGTTAACAATTAAAACAAAACAGGCTTCAAACTGTTTACTGCCAAACTCCACATAAAAAAACAGAAAAATTGGAGTACATATTGTGTATGTAGGCTCGGTGGTAGAGTGGTCGTTTCCCAACCCGAAAGTTGGTGGTTTGATCCCTGGCCCACGCAATCATGTCAAAGTGTCCTTGAGCAAGACACTGAACCCTCAGTTGCTCTTGGTGCTGCATCACCAGTAGGTTAATGAGGTAACGGTGTTAAGCGCTTTGAGTACCTGAGATAGAAAAGCCCTACTATACAAGTGACATCCCATTTACCATTTAAAACAACCAAAACAACATTGGTAAGAATGGGCTGCTAGCTTAATGCTAACAAAACGATATTGAGACGCTATTGGTGAGTGTCAATAGTTGTTTTGTAAACGGGTGCCTGAGCACAAATCAGTGATGGCAATTTTCCGCGGATATGCGGAAATCCGCCGTTTTATTTCTTAAATTGATCATTTTTGTGAATCGTCTAAATCCGTTGAGAAAATTTTAGAGGGGGTCAGGTACCTTATCGTCGAGTTTTCACGAGCTCGCCCGATCAGTCTTTCCATCTTCCGATTGTAAACAGCCCTGCAATTGGACGTGTATGATGTCTTACTTGTTGTGATTGGTCCCTATATCGGCAAATGCAAATCACAACCAATCCGTGTTCGCCTTCCTAAACCCCTTTCTCGCGAATGCCGAATGTTATCGAGACTCGCGACGAAGCTAAAATGCGTCAGATAGATGCGGATCTGAAAAACACGTTTCGATGGGACTGGTTGGATAGAAAGCTGACGGTGTCCCCAGTAGGAAACAGTCAAGAGGAACCATTGTGCTTGTGTCGGATTTCGTGAAAAAGCTCGAAGTCGCCGTTAAAGCTCTGTGTACTGTGTGTGACGATGTCATTCTATTCGGATCGAGAGGATGGAAAGCTTTACAGAGTCACGCAACCTCGGTGAAA